CACCATTTCATTTCCTTTGCCTTGAAAAGCATCAATTGTTCAATCAGGTTGGTGTTTGCTGTTTTCCTTTTCCTATCCTTTTTTTTTCTTATTAAAAAAATACTAAAACATTTTTAGGGCAACTGAAAATAAAAACCATTTAACTAGCCATGCAACAGACACATCTCACACCGTCTCCAATGGTCAAGTCCTATGCTACATGCGGGGGATACAAAAGATGGACACAGTAATCCCTTGGGGAGCTCTCCAGAAGATGTCCTAAAAAAAAGAATTCAGGGCCTCCCCGGTGGCGCAGTGGTTGAGCGCTGGCTTGCGAAGCTGCCCGCGGCCTCTGTGGCGCCGGTTCGATCCCCAGCTGCTCCCCGGCCACAGGAGGAGGGTCCCACATGGCGCGCAGACCTCTCCTGCCGCCCGCTGCTCCCCTCAGCAGTGTACTTCGGTCCTTCTGCCTGCTCTGCTCCCTGCTCTGGCTCTGGTGAATTCTCTCACCCTCCCGCATTTCTGACTGTGCCCAGTGCATGTATAAACAAAACAAACAAATAAATAAATAAATAAAACATGCCTCTATTAAAAAAAAAAAAGTTAAAAAAAAAAAGAATTCAGAACCACACATGAATATATACATACAGGTAACCTCTGACAAGAGTAAAATCTTTGGAAATAAAGCTTTGATTCTAAGGTGAGGAAGAGATAGCTGGAAACATGTACTACTTGACATTTAAGCAAGCACGTAAGAATCCTTACAGAGTCAAGAACTAAACCATATTCAGAGGGAAAAAAAAAAAAAAAAAAAAAGGTACAGAGTCTCCCGGAATAATCCTTTAAGCCAGAGCTACTCAAATTATTGTCCCATAGCCCAAAATGTTAATTACTCACCAGAGACCAGAGAAGTATAGAAGGGTCCTAAGAAACTTTTGGGGCCAATGTGACATTGCCACAACATCCAAACATGTGATTAATAGACTCATCTTATTGAACAGAGTAGAGAACCGAAGTAAGGCTACGTAACAAATTGAATTTAAAACATTTAAAGAGAAATTAAAACAGAGAAAAAGCACTGACTCTTCATGGAGAGTTTGAGAAGCTTAGTTTTTAAATGCCCTGGGCAAGGATCTTTGGCTGGTGCCAAAATTGAGTTTGGAATGAGATTTGATGGCAGCGGCTGGTTTATAGCTTAGCAGAGAAGCTCCAAATTCCAATGTCTCTGAAAGTCTCCTCAAACAACACACCAAAGAGCTCTTCTTACCAGGTTGTCATCCTTGAAAGTATCTTAAGGATCACCTGGAGAACGGGCCTCTGGATCCCCGTGATTGGGAGTGGGGGTAAGGGAGATGGAAACTCCGAAAGGTCTAGAAGACACCCCTCCTCCACTAGTTTTAGTGTGAGGCAGGAATGGGACAGAGCCGCCAATGACTGCGGCAGAAAAGAGATGGTGTGAAATGGCAGCGCTGAGGCAAGTCGGCAGTCTCGGCACAAGGGCCTCCCTTATGTAAGAAACCACAGCAGAGTGTGGGCTGCCAGGGCAAAATAATGTGCCTCTGTGTGCGCGGGCTGGAGAGCACTGCAGCGCCTGGGCCGGGCTTACAGTTTATCTAAGCCATGTACACATGGTCTGTTAATGAGCAACTGGTCCCCAAAGCGGGCCCAAGGCTGATAAAAACCAGATGTGGGGCCGGCCAATCAAAGTAGCCTCAATCCCCCATACCCTCGGCCTGGATCGCTATCTCACCAGGCCTCCTGAGCCTTCCCAGGTCCCTCATCTTTAATGGACGTTTGCAACCTAAAAATGCCACAACCTTCCAGTTGGCTTCTTGTGCGCTAGTTAAAGGGTACAGAAAGCAGGAGGGTTTACAGAGGATGAAGGGTGAGATGGGTCCTATTTGGATTTATACAGCCCAGCTTTGGGGGAATCTTTGGTCCTAAAAGTATACAGATGTGTGTGTTCCCCTTAACCAGAGTCCCAATGGCTGCATATTTCAGAAAGGCAAAGTAGCAACCTGAAAAACGGGCCCTTGGGAGCTCTAAGCAAACCTAGCTTCATTGCTCCGTAGAGAAGACTGAGGAGTGGAGAAGCTGAAGTTGCAAAGAGACCAAGTCAGGTGGGGGTCTTGAAAAGGAAACCCAGGGTGACTCAGAAATACCTTCTCAGAAGAGACTTGGTCCACAGGTCTCCCCATGCATGAGGACCCCTAGGGAGCTGGGAATCATATTCCCAAATACCTGAACCCAAAGTCAATCAACACAAGGCATGGAGGCTTAGGCGCTTGCTCTTGGGAAGGGAATGCCATGGTCCCATCGTAGTTGCTCTTTATTTGAAACACCAAAGCAGCAGAAAACACTCCCAAGGTGGAGGAAGAAGAAAAGATGGCACTTTGGTGTGCTAATTTATTCATTACAAATAATGCCTTGGGAGTTGCTCTGTGCCAGGCTCCCTGCCATCTTGGTGTTCATAGCCTAGTGGAGCAGAGAGATGCAAAACACACAATGATGTGTGCGAGGACAGTCACAACACAGTGGCAGTTGTCTACCAGGGATGGAGGACTTGCTGATGAAGTTGAGCTTTAGGGACAGGAGGCAGTTAATGGGCAAAATGCTGAGGCAGGCTTCAGAAGGAGTGGGCAGGCATGGTGGAGGGGCCTAAGCCCTGAAAAAGGCTGGTGCAATTGTGAAAATAAATACTAGTTATTATGGGGAGAAACAGAGTCCTTTCCAAGGAAGGCTTTGGCGGAAGGAAGGGCCATATCATATGGAGCTTTTAGACCTTGCTCAGGATTTGAGAATTTATCCTTAAAAACAACAGGAAGTCACTGCAGCCTTGTAAGTGGTGACCAGTCATGCTCAGGATTTTTTTTATAAAGGATCAAAGAGGTCCCCTGGATACTGAAGTCAAGATACAGGAATAAGGAATAACTCATTTAGTCTGTATCTGGTGAACATGTAAACATGCTGGGGTGCATTTGGAGGTCTCTGAACTGGAAGAGTCACTGCAGAGAGTGTGCCCTTTCTGGCTTGCCATTCAGAGAGTGCTGAACTAAGGGCCTACCATCCTCACTGTCCTACACCCAGCAGCATAGCTGCCACTTAGACAGCTAACACTCTCCAAGCCCTCAGAAAGCCCGCAAGGCACCAGCATGCCCCGTTGTCTTAGGGATGGGCACCTGGAGGCTGGTTTGGACTGGAAAACTGGGACCCAGCCACTATTTCTGGGCTTGGCATACATGTTCAAATGGGCAGCAGTGGTCTCCCCAGACCCACACACCAGGCTCATTATGTTCTAAACGCTTTAAGGAATAGCTGCTGTTCAAACTACCTGAGAAAAGTGTTGCAGTCTCTGGTGGGTGGGGGTAGCAATTGGCTTCCCTGAGCTGCTCCTTCAGCCAGACTTAGAATAAAGAGGGTTTTCAGGGCCTGGAGTTTTCCAGCTGCCTGGAAACAGGAAGAGCCCAATCCCAGGGAACAGTAACCCTCACACACACCCTACATAAAGACACGTTGAGCCATTAGCCCTAATTGCCTGTGACTGACACGGGAGTGAAGTCGGCCTTCCAGGCATTTGCTCAGTGGAAAGAAAACAAACAGCTCACGGGGGACACAAGCGGCCATTTTCCCTCCTTTCTGCCAAAACCATTCTGCTCTGTTCCCCCCAAATTATAGCATACAGATTTGAAATTATAAACCAAACAAAGATCTTTCGAGTATTCCTTACCGCATATGAAAGGGAAAAGAAATCTCTGTAGGGAGGAGTTGGACAAAAGCAACTAGTTATTAATCTTTTCGCAAAGTCAAAAATATTCCCTATTCTCTCCAGGTTTGAGGTGCTGAGGACTATTCACAATGCTTTTCATTTGTTCCTCATACTTTATTAAGAAATATGAGTCAAGAAGTGTGCAAATGCTAAGAACACAAGATGTGTGTGGCAAAAATCGCCGATTTCAGATTAAGGATTTTTGTTTCAGCAAATGGGTTTTCAACATGGTTTAAGAGCAATACACTATATTATATATCAAACATCCTTCCCTTTCTTGTATGAATTAGGGGAGCTCAGAGGACCCACAAACCAGCACCAGCACCATCACTGGCCAGACCCCAGGGCTATGGCAACATGGACATTGGTTTCTTCAGTACCAAAGTGACAAAGAGGATGGACATCAGGACCACAGTGGGATCAGCCCTGACTATGACTTGTAGTTACCAAGATAAGAATTCATTTTCCAGTTCAGAACCATTCCCTTTCTTTCTGGCCACTCCATAACTACTCCAAAAATATTCACCAGGATTAACATCTGCCGAAAATACCATTCACTACACCATCTTATTTCCGGGGAAATAGGAACGATTATTATGCACACCTTACCGAGATGGTAAGTCACTGAGCCAATGTCACATGGGAGTAGCGTTGCAGATTCAAACCTAGATCAATTTAATTCCCAGGTCCACATTCCTAATCTCTACTCACTAGTAAAAGTTGAATCTCCTTTTGGCTGACTGGGGCCAGCTTATCATCCAAGGTTTTTAGTATCAGATTTAATTCTGAATCAGAAGGTGTCAAGAACACTAGTAGCCCATGTTAACATCACGTCAGCTACAGGAAAAACGTACAATGAGACTCAGAGCCTAAAGTCCTCCAGAGGCCGCTAACATAAAATTCAAGAGAGAAAAACTATTTTCTAGGCAGGATCTAGGTGAACACCTTCCAACAGTTTCAGGAGGCAAAATGAGCTCCTTGTTCCATTAAAAGCCATGCTCTTTGAATCGAGTTGTTCATTTCTAGTCACAGTATAAGGTAGCATTGATTCAGCTCACAGATGATTTAGATTCTTTTAAGATTTATGTAGAACAAGCAGTTCTTCCACACCTCCCTCACTCCTGTGCATGGCAGCCTCCCCAGAAACTACCAGCCACTAGGTAATAAATAATCACGTTGTTTCTGCCCTGGTGAAGGAGCCTCGGTCTTGGGGGGGTTGGGGGGAGAGTACTGTTCTGGGACAGAGGCTACTCACCCAGAAGGCAAGGCATCAGGGGCCTGGACAGCTGTGGGGGGCTGCTGGGTGCCTGAAGTGCTGGGCACCTCTCCTTCAGCTGGTGTGGTCAGAGCAGGAAGAGAGGCTACGGTGGGGTTTGGGGTCACACTTGTTGCTGCGGCAGGCAGGGATGTCACACCAACAACAGAGGGTTCTTCGGGATCGGTGGCTGCAGTGGGATCGTCATTCACTGAAAATACAGAAATCACAGTTTAGAGATCAACTATAACTTGTGTTGACATTTGCTAAGTTTTTCCCTTAATGGAACAGCCCAGTAGCTACAATGTTATCATGCACGCATCTGGTGACAGCTAAGTTTGACAAAACTGAACTGTGGGAGTTACAGCAAGTCAGTAATGGCCAGCTCAGAGAAAATTGGGATGTGGATCTGAAGTAAGTGACTTTATTATATTTTTAAAACATACTATAGTTCCATGTATTGCAATAAAAGAGTATCAGGAATGATGAGGATAACAGGGAAATGTGTCCATGTTAAAGGGAACAGGGTCAGGTTTATGGGGTCATATGCATTTCTTTAAACTTGTCACTTGTCTGCTAGGCACAAACAGCACCTTCCTTCCAAAAGCTCCATATACACAGAGGCAGAAAATTTTCAATAATGCCCTGTTCTTTTAAAGACTGAAGCTCAAAGAAAGGAGCAAGGATTAACACTCTCAATGAAAAAATGGGGACCTGTCACTAAGGTAGTCATAGAGAGACAGAGTGAAATGCGCTGGTTCCTGAGTCTCCTTAACTTCTCCATTCATTTTTTTTTTTAATCATTTCTTTTTTTTTTAAAGATTTATTTATACAAGTGCCGGGGTACAGGCCAGATGCGCAGGAGGGTGAGAGGATTCACCAGAGACAGAGCAGGGAACAGAACAAGCAGACTGACAAAACACACTACTGAGGGGAGCAGCGGGCGAGACAGGAGAGGTCTGCTGCACCATGTGGGATTCTCGCCAGCCAGCCGGGGTGGAATCCATGCTTCAGAGGCTGCGAACAGCCTCACAGTGCAGCACTCAACTGCCTGTGCCACCTAGGAGGCCCCTCCAGTCATTCTTTTGATGGTAACTCATGTTCACAAGGACCCTAAGGCACTATGATATCCTATCACTCAAAAAGGGATCAAACAAGGCTTCAAAGAATTAATAATTCTTTGAAAACTGATAAATAAGCCCATGCCGAGAATTTTCTACATATGTGATTGCAAATGTGGGCTTTTATACTAGAATTCTATGGGAAATTCCTTAGCATCATTTTACCTCATCTTCCTAATTCACAAATTATTTTCTGCAGTTTGCCTTACAAATGGCAATCCAGGTTATTCCTGAACATTTTAAGTCATTATACTGTTGAACAGATGTACAGGCTAGGAAGATATTTTTTTCTGATTTTTTTTTTTAAATAGAGGCATGTTTTATTTATTTATTTGTTTGTTTGTTTATACAAGCACTGGGTACAGTCAGAAGCGCGGGAGGGTGAGAGAATTCACCAGAGCCAGAGCGGGGAGCAGAGCAGGCAGAAGGACCGAAGTACACTGCTGAGGGGAGCAGCGGGCGGCAGGAGAGGTCTGCGCGCCATGTGGGACCCTCCTCCGGTGGCCGGGGAGCAGCCGGGGATCGAACCGGCGCTGCAGAGGCCGTGGGCAGCTTCGCAACCCAGCGCTCAACCGCTGCGCCACCGGGGAGGCCCTTTTTTTCTGATTTAATCTGGATTCCACTGGCTACTCTCAGTCCCAAAGCCTGACCTCCCCACACAATACAAACTGAGTAACTGGTCATCCTGTTGTGCTTCTCTTTTCCAGTAACAAGACCTCCTATTTCTTTAATGTTTCTAGGCCACTCCCTTCTGACCACCTGTCTGCCCTTTTCTACAGCCTCTCCTAAATAATGTGAGGAACTGAACATACTAAGTCAGATACCATCAGACCTGCAGAGCCAGATTTCCAGTATAAAAGATGTTCGTTAACATTTGCAGAATACCAGGATGTGCAGGCAAAGTACAAAGCATTTTGGGTTACTTCATTTCAGCCTCACATACACGAGTTAGAGACAATGAATAACCTCCCATTTCACAAAGGAGGAAAGTGAGGCTCAAAGAGGTTGACTAGTAAGGTTACTACAGGACTTAATCCACACCCCTGCCATCTGTTTACAGCACTTGAACCCCTACTCACTATGACCTACTTCTCCCTCTCTGTAGCTCCAAGGATGCAAACCAAGATAATGACTCCAAGCAACCACTTAAGCCAACTGGCTAAAATGACATTGGCGATCAGGGGAAATAAAGCTACATGATATGATGCCAGGTTCATTCTTGAAAAAAAAAGAGAGGAGGTAGAACTATCTATGATGAATTCATTTGCTTTCTCTCCAGGACATGAAATACTGACTGACACACAGATTAAATTAGCTATTCAATAAACGGCTACATCTTGTTACTTGATGTCTCCCCAACATAAATGTATTTATGTTCCTTTCTATGTCAGTTGTGTTAGAACACAACAGATGGCAATTCTATTTATGAAAATCTATAAATTTTACTCAATTCCAATAAAAAAGCCATCGTGACTTTTCTGATAGCTAAATAATTTATAAGAACAACTAAATACATAAGAATAGCCATGAAAATTCTCAAGCCTAGTGCTATATGTATATCTAAGTGGGAGCTACTTCTCTAAAATATCAAAACATATTATAAAGCTACAGCAATAAAAACAATATGACACTGGTAAATGAATAGCAGATGTCAAATAGGCAAGGAAATTCAGAAACAGAATTAACTACACATAGGAATTTAGTATGTCACAAAGGTAGCATTTTAAATGACTCCAGAAACAGATAATTTACTTAACAGTGCTGTAACAACTATGGAGTACAATGGGTGGGAGGAGGGGGGAGAGGGCGGTGCGGGAATGGAGTTATATCCCTACCTCACTTCTTGTATCAAAATTAATTCCAGATGGGTCAGAAACTTTGACATTAAAAAAATGAAAGTAAAAAGGAAGTAAAGAAAACAAAGGAGAATATTTTTATAACCTCAAAGTAGAAAAGACTTTTTAATATATCATACAAAATCTAGACATCATAAAAGATTTTAAAAGTTTTTATACAAACTTTGTGCTAGGTTCACTAAAAGGGGGGGGGAAGTCTAATAACTAGAATCAGAAATGAAAGAGAAGTTACAACAGAAACTCAGAAATACAAAAGATCATAAGAGACTACTATAAATATCTTTATGAACAAATTGGAAAATCTGGAAGAAATGGACAAGTTCTTAGAAGCATACAACTTTCCAAGGCTGATTCAAGAAGAAATCAAAAACATGAACAGAGCAATTAACAAGTAAGGAAATTGAAACTTTAATCAAAAGTCTCCCAAAAAATAAAAGCCCAGGGCCAGAAGGTTTTACTAATGAGTTCTACCAAACCTTGAAAGAAGAACTAATACCTAGCCTCAAACTCTTCCAAAAAATTGAGGAAGAGTGAATGCTCCCAAACACATTTTATGAGGTCACTGTTACTCTGTTAACAAAACCAGACAAGAATATCATATAAAAAGAAAACTACAGACCAATATCCCTGATGAACACAGATGGAAAAATCCTCAACAAAATCTTAGCAAACCAAATTCAACAATATGCTAAAAGAATTATACATCATGACCAAGAGGGATTTATTCCAGGGATGCAAGGATGGTTCAACAAATGCAAATCAATCACTATAATTCACCACATCAATAAATGGAAAGATAAAAGAGACCATATCGATAGATACAGAGAAAGTATTTGACAAGATTCAGCATTCACTTAAGATAAAAACACTAAGTATGATGGGGATAGAAGGAACATACCTCAATATAATAAAGGCCATATATGACAAACCCACAGTTAGCAACATATTCAATGGAGAGAAAATGAAAGGTTTTTCTCTAAGATCAGGTAGACAACAGGAACATCCACTTTCACAACTGTTCAATACAGTATTGAAATCCTAGTTAGAGCAATTAGGTAAAAGAGAGAGAGAAAAGGAATCCAAATGAAAAAAAATATTCAACATCACTTATCATCAAGGAAATGTAACTAAACTCAAAATGAAAGAATATCTTACACCAGTAAGAATGATTCATTTCAAAAAACAGAAATAACAAATATTGATGAGGGTCTGAAAAAAAAGAAACCCTTGTTCACTGTTGTTGGGAATGTAGACTGATCTAGCTCTGATGGAAAACAATGTGGAGGTACCTTAAAATATTAAAGATAGTTCTAGCACATGATGCAGCAAGTCCACTCCTAGGTATCTACCCAAAGAATGCAAAATATTAATTTGAAGGGATATATGCACTCTCATTGCAGCACTATTTACAGTAGCCAAGTTATGAAAAGAGTATCAGTGTCCAATGACAGACCAGTGGATTAAGAAAATGTGGTATAGTGGAATACTACTCAGCTACACAAAAGATGTATTCATGCCATTTGCAATAACATGGATGAAACTGGAGGGGATCATGCTAAGTGAAATGAGCCAGAAGGAGAAAGATAAATGCTGGATGACTTCACTCATATGTAGCATAGAGAGAAACAAAACAAAGGGCTTGACAAAACTAAACCAAAATAAATGCTGGACATACAACTGCTAAATTGCGGCTCTTAGAGAAGGTGGGTGGATGGAAGTAGGAACAAAGTGGGGGCGGGGTTCCTATGATCTAGGGTAAAGAAATATGGGTGCTTTGGTGGTGGATATGGTGTGGCAACAAACATCAAGGCATTATAAGCCTATTCCTGTAAATCATAAACAGCACTGTAAACCATGTTACCTCAAGAAGTGGGGAAAAAACTGTTTTAAATTTAAATGGCAACAAAACAAAACAAAAAACCAAAGGCAGAGTGAAAAGAAAAAATAACAAACTGGGAAAAAAATTACTAACTCAAATTACAGAACAATGGCCAATTTCTTTAACAAGAAAAGAAACTCTACAAATGAATAAGAAAAAGACAAAAAGCATGAACCGTTGCTTTACAGTAAAAGAAAGACAAATTTCCCCTAAACATATTAAAAGATGCTCAATCTCTATGAGGCCAGAAATGCGACTTCATACTATAATGAAATGCCATTTTTTAACTTATCAGATTGGCAAAAGTGAAAATATTTCATTATACACTGAGAAGAGTGTAAGAAAAACTGGCATT